CTGAATGTTCTCCCATTATTTACTGGCCTGAACTGCCTCTCAAAAGGCAATCCCTTATAGAACAATGTATCTCGCCCTCTACCGGGCTGAGCATTTGGGAAGAAAGTAGGGCGATAGGGATGCTGTCATATCCCTGATTTCTTCGTATTCCCACTCACTTCTCTTTTACATCTTGCACACAAGACGTCTTCATCCTTTTTTGGCTCCTTCCTTTTAATACGCTCAAAGACACTGGGATGTGGTCCAGGGTCTTCTTCTCCATCATCTATAACCAACTTGAATTTTGACAACTTGTTTTTGAAACTAGACATCACCATATTCACTCCAAGTGGCTGTGGAAAAGGATTTTCATCCACTGCCATCTTCTTCTTATCATCGAACATAATTCGTCCTGATTCAATGGCATCCTGTAACACATGGCAAAAAACCAAGCAATTGTTAGTCAAATGTGACCATGCATTATGCTACTTACAATATTTTTTACCCTTAATTTGCTCAGGGCTTGGCAATTTATACTTATCGCTCAACTTTATCTGCTTATCCTTATATAATTTATCAAATATAAGGTCAGCTTTGGTTACATCGAACGAGAACGTTCTAACTTTTATGTTTTCATCTTTCATAGGATCATCCTTGCCCGATGGTCTAGGCTTAGCCATTATAGGACAAGTATACGTGTCTCCTTTGACTAATTCGGCCAAACACATTTCGGTCTGATCGTATGACTCGTTATTGATGGTATGAACATCAAAATTCGGGTCTCTATAATAAGTCCCCTTGCTAAAATTTTTTATCTGCTCTTCTTCTTTTATCAATCGTTCATACCTAATCACGTTCGTGCTCAATTGGAAAAGGTCAGGAACTTCCTTATCTTGAAATTTCTTTTTCAAATCAAAGCTCAAACAACTTTGAGCGATTTTGACAAACTCTTTTTCAGGCAAATGTACAAAACATTTACTTCTTACCGTCTTGAATCTTTAGAGGAAACCTTCTGCCCATTCGTTTGGCATTTGACGTAGATTCGCCAAATCTGTCGAAATAACTTCAGACTCAATCTTATAAAACTGAGCGTGGAATAATTGTTCCAATTGTTACCATGTTTGAACAGAGTTCGCTGGCAAATTGATGAACCAGGAGAAAGCTACTCCTGTTAATGAACTAGGGAAAAACCTCATTTTATGATAATCAATTACGTCGCCACTTTGCAGTGTGAATCGCCCTATATGTTCTAGAGTAGACACCTCCCCTAAATCGGTAAACGGTGAGAATTCTGGCACTTTATACCCTCTAGGCTATGGATATGCTTGGTCTACCCAATCAGGATATGGCTTTGTGTAAGTCGGTCTAATGACAGGATGTACCCTAAAAGCCATCTGATCCTGTACGATTTCCATAATTTGATTCCTCAACATGACGTTGGGGTCATATGGAATTCCTACAGGTTAGTTAACCGGTTGATTTGTTTGAAACCTGATGTTTGGTCATTGATTGGCAACAAAGTTACCATGATTTGAGTCATTGTTACCATTAGCCTGAACATTTATTCCCTCATTAACACGTGGGGTATTCTGCCCATTATTTAGGACATTATCTCTTACATTTGGATTACCCCAAAGTTACGCGTACCACTACCATTATTCTGATTTGGTATTACACCATCCCCTGGTTTGAAGTAGAGGGACCGAAAGGTGGTTCTATCCCTTGATTTGGATTTAGAATTGGGGGATTATGTCCCACAATTGTCCTAATTTGAAAATGGTTTGCAAGAGGTATAACTGGTTGACAAATTTGGCCTACTAACTTATTCATTATTTCGTTCAAAGTATTCACTTGTTTGGCCATGTTGTCATAATGTGCATTCCCATTCTGGGTAAATTTTTCCATATTATAAATATTTCGAAGATTTACCTGTTCAACGACATCTTGTGTGAGTTCTCCAAGTAGTGCACGCATAGTTCAAGGACTCAACTCTGTCATTGATTTGTAACGAATGTTATTACTCTGATTCTGTCCATCTGTTCGTGGAGAGTTATGCTGTTCCTCATATCGCTCGATCACAGACTGGACTCCTCCCTAACTTGCTGCTTCCTTATCGGATCTCTGAGACATATTGTTTCATCTTTTGTATCTTCAACACCAAATACCACTGTCCCACTGGGCGTGCCAAATTGTTTCGCGCGGGTTAGTCGCTAACAATTAAAAAGGGATCAGACAATTGTGTAAGGGACAAACCTCTTGAGACAAAGTCCCAAAAAGGGGTGTTTTTATTGGTAATGACTTTACAATTGAAAAATAAAACAGAATGACTCCAAGTGACGCAAGCACACGAGTTATTGAAAAGAAGTGTTTAAATCTAAACTAAGAAATTGAAAGTTACATATTCTCTGTTTGAGAGTGTTTGATTCGGGGGGTCTTTTGTTTTATATCTTTTCTTCCTTTTATACTCCGTGGATGATCTCTTTGTGATCAACCGCTTAAAAACTGTTTGATCGCTCTATAACTGCCCACTTTCTTTATAGTGGCCAACTTGTCATGGAACTGCCTTCTCTAACTGCTGCCATTACTGTTTATCGTTCAACCGTCTTCAATTGAATTTCTTGAATCATGGAACGTGATAGGGCTACTCAATAATTGCTTCATTAACCGCACTTTTGGATAACCATAGCATCTTACATTTGTTAAGATCCTGGGCGACTCCAAGGTTTGGGCGAGAATAGGGTCACAGCTCTAGGCGACTGCATAGCAATCCATTCGCTCAAATTTTGGGCGACTTGCAAACTTAGACGATGGTATTACCGCGTTCATGAGTTTCCCTATTTGGGCCTTTATCCTGAATTGCCTGTTTGGGCTGTTCTTTGGATTTTCTGATTTGGGGATCCTCCAATTGGGTTTCATTCCTTGGACCATTCGATTTAGGCTGAACTTTTTGTGTGTCAACAGATACTCTCAAGGACAATCTGATTATACACTCTTTATGAAATTCTCAACAAATGGTAAGAGTGGCAATCCTCGTTTGCGTGGATGACATTATTGTCACTGGAGTCATTACTGAGGAAATAGTCAGACCAAGAGAAATTCTTTCTAGGGAATTTGAGTTCAAAGTTGTAGGAAATTTGAAATACTGCCAGATAGCTCAGTCCAAGAAAGCATATCAATCGTTAAAAGATTTCCTATCAACAATCACTGTAACAAACTATGTGAGATTGCTTCGAATTTTATCAAAACCAAAGAATCTGAAATTTGAGCATCATAAATCATTATCTTAGATTGATTTTTTGGACAAAAGAGAAAATATTGCCCCTGTTTCATTTTTAAGTCGTTCAATTTAAAATATAATCAACTTTTTCATTCAATTTTTCCCTCCACATCATTTTATATAATACTTTATTTTATATTTTCATGTACAAATAACATAATCATTCTTTCAATATTTATTATTGAATTTAAGATCTTTGGGAAAAGAACCTTGCTATAGGTTCAGGGATTTAAATCCCTGTACCTACCGAACACTCACATTCAAAGGCGAGATTTTTTTTTTCAATATTTTATACACGGGCCCACTCTCATGTGAGTGAGAATTCAAAAATCTGGCAAAAATTTTTTGTACTTGAAGAATTTTTGTTGGGAAAATAGTATCCGCTTTTTTATTAGTTGACTTTGATTATGATTTGGATTTTTGTAGTACTTGTTTAGCTCTAATTTTTTTAAATTTATTCATTTATTAAAAGTTATTTTACTAATATATTTTCTGAAATACATAATTTTTATCAAATTTTTAATCATGCATTTTTATCAATTTTTATCTAAATTAAAAAAAATCTAAATTTTTAACGAACCAACTTTATTTTGTAGATCATGAATTATTAAGCCTCTATTTGAGCCATGTTTTTTATATATATATTTTTTTCATTTGCAGCCACATGTTTTTCTAATAAAATAATATTACACGTAAATTAATTTTTTTTATCACACATTCTTAAAATATATATATATATATACATACATACACACTACAAGACATATTCTCCTGAAAAATGGAGCTCAAACAAACGCTAAATTTATATCAATATAATGTTATAACATTTAATTTCTTATTTATTTTATTTAAATTTGGTGTCCAAAATGTGTTGGTCAATATGCTATATATCTACATTTGTTGTCATGAATCAAGTCTTTACCTTTATTTTGACTTCATGGTGAATGATAGATTAAAATATCACGTTGTAGTATCAATTCTACGTTTTCACGTGAAATTAACTAAATCGACATATGTTAATTTTAGTTTTCTCCTTGTATAAAAAATTATATCGACTTAAAATACATGTAAATTGTAGATAATTATTTTGTCAATTATAATATTTTGGAATTACAATCAATTTTTTGGATAGTAAACTTTATAATATGTGTTAGGGGAGGTTTATGATAATAATAATAGAGAAATCCCCTTACTTTTCAAAAATTTTAGAAAATCCCCTCTTAGCATAAATTTTCCACTTTATCCTTCTATACGCTCTATAGATGATTGGTATTTTAATTACTTTTCTTTTTATTTCTTTACAAATTGATTTTATCATATTTTTGTGAATTTTTTTTCTCATTAAAAAAATGAATAAACTAAAATTAATCTAAAATTTTTACCACAGAAATGAACTAAAATGGATTTCAAAAAATAAAAAAGAACTAAATGGAAATTCACACTAAAAATATTTTATTTTAAATTTTCACATAATTAATGTTATGATAATATTACTTTGAATTTATAATATTAATATAGTATAAATTTTCAAGAGTTATGATACTAAAAAATTTAAAGAAAACACTATTATCAAAGTCATGTCAATTATTTAAAATCATATTTGCAAAAAATAAAAAATAAAAAAATCACATTTTAATTTTTGAAATTTTATAATGGTATTTTTTTACTAAAATTATCTCAGCTAAATTAAAATATGAAAAAAAAAATATCTAGATAAAAAATAAGAATAACAAAAATATCATTTGCCACTGGGTATATTGGGGTTTAGGGTTTAAGCACGGGAAAGCCCCACCGCAACTCTCCTCGCCGCACTTTGTTATTTATCCATGGCGACTCACCTCGAAGAAGAAGAAAATTTGAACGACTTAAAAATGAAACAGAAGCTACACGACACTGAGGACGATGACGGCGAAGAAGAAGAGGAAGAAGACCAGAATTGGGACGACTGGAAAACTGACGGTGAAGAAGAAGAAGAGCTAGAAGGCTCAAAGGAACAGTTTTTCTGTCTGTTTTGTGACTCCGTGTACAGTTCGTGCAGTCCTCTCTTTGAGCATTGCGCTTCAGCCCACCACTTTGATTTCAACGCTATGAAGAAAACCCATAATTTGGATTTCTATAAATGCTTAAAGCTCATCAACTACGTCAGGTCTCAGGTATGTGTATATAATACTTTATTATTTGAATTCTTCTTGAATTTGTTATAAATTCGTTACTTTATTTTGTAAGATTTGCAGTTATTGATTTGTGTGAGCAGTGCTTTGAGGCTTGTGCTTGTGGCTTTATTGATTATTTCGTAGTCTTACTAAAAGCAACCTTTTGTGTTAGTTGGGCAGTAACCTTGGGCTTTCCGGTTGTACCTTGCTCTGGTTTCTCATGAAAACTCTGCTTAAAGTGGAGTTTTTGTTTCTCTTGTATTTTTCAAGTTAGGTGATATCTTTTGTGTGTAACAGTAGATGATGTTTCAAATTTGGTATCCTGGTATTCTATAGAAATTCTAAAGCAAGAAGAAGCAGGAAAAAAAAATAAAAAATTGAATCTCAGTTGCGTTCCTGGAAGTCATATATTGCTCGGCTTCTGTTAATGGTGCTGCTCAAGCTGAGTAATTTATTCGTCTGCAATATATTGTCCTCAAAGTTTGTACCTGCTTATAGCACCTTGTATTTAGGGGTAGTTGGAGTTCTCTCCCAGAAAGTTTTTTATTCTTGTAGGACAAGTTACAATGCTAGTTGTCAGTACCTTGTTCTAGTGATTGGGATTTAGGTTCTCTATCTAAGCTGATAGTTGATTTGGCACGAGACTCACTCTTGCGCACATGCATACATACACACAAAATGCATTTAGTATATGCTTATACATCCCAACATTTTCTGGAGGAAAAAACGACTGAAGGCTAACAAACTGGCCAGGCAATATAAGTTCTGGGTTTCAGGAAACAAGAATAAAATCAAGCATTGGTAGGAAATTTTGATTATATCTTTCACATCGGTTTTGAATTTTAATTTAGCGCTTCATTTTATTAAGATGGCATTTATCTGATCTGATTTGACTATACTGAAGGAGAAGTTTGTGGTTTATTAATGTTCCTTTTCTTGCTTTCTTTTATATTTATTAGGTGGCAGAGAATAGATGTTGGAGTTGTGGGATGATCTGTCAGTCCAAGAGAGATCTACAGAACCACTTACATGAGGTGGTCAATTTTGAGAGTATCATGCTCCAATTTGATGACAATAGGTATCTCAAACCTATTTTGCCAGATGATGCACTCTTGTATAGTTTTGCCGAAGATGAAGAAGATGAGAATGGAGATGACATGTCAATTGACCCAAAAGAATTGGTAAATTTGAATCAGTTTGAACAGATCAGTATTGACTATGAGAGTTGTTCAGATAGATATCCATGTCAACTTACGACTCCTTGTGAAAATGGGGGGAAAGAGGTTGCGTCCGCTTCTGACAGAGGTATAAAGGCTGGTGCGGAATATGCTGTCTCGTTCTTCAGAAATGAAGAAGATGAGCAGTTTAATGAATCTTCTGAAAAAATTGTAGCAAATCAAATCAGAAACATAAATAAGAATTATTTTGGCGCGTACAGTTCTTTTGGAATCCACAGAGAAATGATCAGTGACAAGGTATTGAACTTGTTGTTCTAGTTGGAGGTGAACCATAATCTATCTCCAAGAAATTAAAGGGAACCATGGATATGTTTCTTTATAATAAGAAGTGTGTTCAGTTGCTTATTGTAATAATTTGTAATGTGTTAAATAGACTTACAGGCTAGCTGTTCTGGTTATGCAGGTGAGAACTGATGCTTACCAGCAAGCTATTCTGGAGAATCCTTCTTTGCTAAGAGGTGCAATTGTTATGGATGTAGGTTGTGGGACTGGCATCCTAAGGTATGAATTAAATTTGGATTTTATTTTGGCATTTCATATGAAGTGATCAATTACGATTGAGATTCCTTCTGAATTTAATTATTTATTGGGCGAGAAGAGCCAAGTTATCTGCAGATGTGTCTACCAAAGCTTGTATTGAAATTTGAACCAAATTTCCCTTAGCACTGATGGTCTGTCTCTTTCTGGTTCCACCTGAACTGAGACTGGCTTAAATGAAGAATAAAGGATACCGTCAAACTGAATTGTTGGCAACACTGCCACGCTCGAGCAACTTTTGTCCTACTTTTCCATTCCATTAATGACGAAGATTGTTTTCTAAATCTTCTATTATAAGAAGGCATGCTCCGCTTCATACCTCTAATTAGCTTGCTAAACATAGTTATCCACGAGTTATTCATGCATAAAAAGCCATCTATGATTTATTGAAATTCATAGCCGGTTTTAATTTTAGTAATGTGAATGCTGTTTGTAGGTTGTATTATGAGCTTTTGTTTCCCTAGTCTTTTTGCAGCACAAGGGGGAGCATCGAGAGTTATTGCAGTTGAAGCCAGCGAGAAGATGGCTGCAGTGGCAACCCAGGTTCGCTGATTTTAATCCGTCTGTTCTATCTGATTCTTTTAAATGGGTTACTGTTTTAAATCATTTTTTTGGATTTGTGCAGATTGCAAAAGATAACGGCTTTCTGCGGAGTGGATTTCCCAGAAGTAGCGGGCAACGTGATGGAGTAATTGAAGTGGTTCAAGGCATGGTTGAGGATCTTGACAATGCAACACACATCCAACCTCACAGTGTTGATGTGTTACTGAGTGAGTGGATGGGCTACTGCCTTCTCTATGAGTCAATGCTCAGTACTGTGTTGCTTGCTCGAGATCGATGGTTGAAGCCTGGAGGTGCAATTCTCCCTGACACGGCTACTATGGTGAATTGAGCATTTCCGTTTTAGCTGTTGTTCTCGACATGTTTTCTTGTTGACAGAGAGAATGATTTTACCTACCTTTAAATTTACAGTTTGTTGCAGGTTTTGGAAAAGGAGGTACTAGTATACCATTTTGGGAAAATGTTTATGGTTTCAATATGTCGTGTATTGGATTGGAAGAGGTTGAGAATGCTGCTCGGAATCCTATTGTTGACGTCATTGACAGTTGTGATATCGTCACTCCTACCCAAGTTCTTCAGGTAGGTTTTTTGATTTACTTTAATCATTTTGATGAATAAGCCTGTAAATTTTTCATATGATGGCGGCCGAAGTTTCATCAATCATAATGCTCCAGCATGTTTCCTATTTGAGATGGTGATTATGGGATATGGAAAAAATCAATGGGGGTTTTTATGACCTCTGGGCTCTGGGACAGGAGGCTTATCTCATGTTTACTACATGAACTTTTTCTATAATGCAAAATTAGCCCTTGGTCGGGCTCCATTTTAATGAGGTTTTAGGAGAAAATGTATTTTGGAATAGTGACTTTTTGGAGAATGTGTGGTTAAAAAAGGAGAAAAAGTTTTGGGTTTATGTGTAATGTTATTTTATTGAAAAACTTGTGGTTGAAAAGAAGAAAAAATGCATTAGAATTTAAATGGAGCCCAAAGAGGGGCTTAGTTTATTTATCCAATGCTTTTGGTTCCAGTTCTACTGGAAATTTATATTATGGTTGGTCGACTGCCTGCTCTATCAAAGTTCCAAGTCGAAATAAGTTCTCTCTTTCTTCAGACCTTCGACCTGGTGACGATGCGATCTGATCAGATGGACTTTACAGCAATAGTTGAACTAGAACCAAAGTTGATCACTCCCATGGACAACTTCACGGGGTCTAAACCAGAAATCACTTGGTGTCATGGATTAGTCTTGTGGTTCGAGACTGGATTTACTGAAAGGTTTTGTAGTGAGCTGCCAACCAATTTATCCACATCGCCTTACAATCCTAAAACTCACTGGTCCCAAACTATCCTGACATTTCGAGAACCAATTGCAATGGCATCTGCGAAGGTTACTAGTGAAAAACTAGCCGCAGTTGGTACGAACGCTTGCCCTGCTGTGAGCGTGCAATCTCGCATCAGTGTTGCCCGAGCTGCTCAGCATCGCAGCATTGATATTTCAGTGGAGCTCACGGGGATAGGACCTGATGGTCGAAAACGTAATTGGCCGGTACAATTGTTCGCTCTCAATTAATGGTAGTGGTCTGAAATAAGTGTTGTCTGGTTTGTATTCATCCTCAACTCTAAAGGAGTTGACATTTTGAGGATATGTAATATTTTTGGTGGATTGTCATTGCTTTTTGTGCTCTGAGTTCGGACGCAAGTATAATTTTTTATTACTTAGCATTTGCGTTTGATTGTTATTACTTTTCATGGAAAATATCATTTTTTTTAATTTAGATTTTTACTTTTGTAATATTTGATTTGATATAGTTTTCAAGAACTAAGGGTCTGTTTGATTACGAAGATGAAATTTGGGTGGAAAGAAAACGAATTCCAAGGAATTGAATTATCGAGAAATTGTTTTCCTGAGAATTGTAAATTATTGTTTTGATTGGTATAATTTTTCACGTGAAAAATGTTGAAGTAAAAGTGTTTTTTTGTGTTTGTTTGATTTTGTTTTATATGAAAATTTTCAATTTAAAGGTTATCCACTTCTACTATTGTTCCTAGAATTTGTTTTCATTGCCAAAAAAAAAAATGATCAAAAAATCATCTATATTTTGGTGTTCGTTTGACTTTGTTTCACATAAAAATTGTCAATTTCAGGGATATCATTTTTTACAATTATTCTTAGAATTTGTTTCCATTGTCAACAATTAAAAAAAAAAAAAAGCAAAAAAAGGGTGAAAAATCAAGAATCACCTACCCCTAGAAAAATAAAAGGTGGAAAATCACACTTTAAGGTATTATACTTAGAAATTCAAGGAAAATCAATTCACTAGAAAATTTTGTCAATCAAATGAGCCAAAAGTGAAAGTTGGAATTTGAATTTTAAGTTCCATGGAAAATTTCGTGCAATCAAATGGGGCCTAATACATTTTTTCACGAATTTTCCTTAAAAATAAGGATAATTTTTTTTTAGAGAGATAGATTTTTATTTTTCAGATAATTCAGTTGCTCTTTCTTTCTTATTCACTTCCTCTCCTTCCAATCTTCCTATCAATAAAAAATAAACAAGCATAATATTTTTTAAATTGGAAATAAAATTAATTAAACACTTCTAATTGATAATTTTTGTGCAAATAATTTCTAGAAAATTTAATTGTCTAGAATTTATTTTCTTTCCACGTAAATTGTAATAAAAATTGCATTGAAAAAAGACTACATGGATAAGTAGTAGTGAAAATTGCAGCAGGGTCCCAAACTTATAATTTTAGCACCACTATCCTAAAATGTTTACAGTTCAGCAGATATGCTGCTTCAGTTGACATTTAAGAAGTGTAAAATGGTCTCTAACATTTAATTAATTTAAATATGAGAAACAGAAAACAAAAAAGAGAACATAATTAATTAAAAAGGGAAATGCTTCATTCACTTCTCAATTAGTGGTGTTAGATGGGCTGCACTTAGATACTCAGCTTTGCCCATCACGTGACCCACCAACTTGTTGACTCGACTCGTTTATTTATTTATATTATTGAAATTAGATTCTATTCACTTAAATACTCAGCTCTGCTCATCACGTGACCCACCAACTTGTTGACTCGACTCGTTTATTTATTTATATTATTGAAATTAGATTTCTATTCATGAGGAGTTAGCTCACTCATGAACTCACAAGCTCGCTCGACTCACAAGTCAACTTGTGCTAGTTGTTCGGAAGTTCACTACTTGATTAGATAGTGATTGTCCGTTCGCCCTATTTAACATTTCTATCCTAATCTAACCACCCACACTGTCACTAGATTCGTGACCCAAGCTAGCGGAAACGAGAGAAGTAATGCTTCATTTCACGATATATTCATAAAAGTTATTTGTATATGAAAACCAAACTATAACACACGATCAATAAATTGCATTATTTTGCAAAAAAAAAAAATAACCCATCCAACAAAGAATAGAAAAGGAATTTTAAAATAACCAAAAAACTCGAACCATGCAAACGGTATCAAAAGCCTTGACGATTTGAATAGAAAAGGAAATGCTAAGATCTTGCCTTGACTATTAAGAAAGGTGCACCAAAAAATAAACAACTAAAAGATGTAGTTTTTGACTCGTTATTTTAATTTATCGCTCAACATTTTATTTTTTCAAAAGATGAATCTCGAAAGTCATTGTAAATACTTTAAAACAATTCTAAGAACCTATCTAAATGATCGAATAATGTAGCTAAAAAACATGTCAAGAATACTTCATTACATGAACTGATGTGAATAACTAGTTATTATTATCTCATTGCTTAATTGCTTAGTCAGTCGAGATATGCTATGAAATAATGTATTAGTTCTTGAAAACTATATCAAAACCTTCTGTAACTTCTGTTTTTGTAATTCGAAATCAATCCTCAAATTGGCTCGATGAAGTTGGATATCTAGAAAATAAAAATATGGGATAATAGCATATTTGGTCTCCAACCTTTCAAAAACGTATGGGATATTCACTTAACTTTTGAAAATTGTACCAGACATCCCCCAACATTTGGGGAATTAAGCATGGTATGTTCCAGGTGACAAAATATGTCCATTTTAGCCGTTAAGGTCAAATAAAAAAGGACGAAGTTGTCCTCCCCTTTGAATAAACAAAAAATGTATGACATGTTTTACTGACTGCTTAACTTTCAACTGGAGTTTTTGTTTCTTTTTGTACAATGCAAGTTACCCAGTTGACATATTTTTTTAAGGTTTGAGATCGACTATTTTTTTTGTAGGGGGAGTTTAAGTTGTTTATGAATAAGATATTACGTATTCACTTCTGCCTACAGGGCAACCAGCTAAATAAAATGCCACACAGAATCAAAATTGTTCACATCATCTCTTCTACGTGCCTTTCTCGAGGCGATTAGGACATCCCCTCAGACGTCTGACATAATATTATTATTAGAGGTAAGGTGATACCTTACCTATTCGCTGCAATCTATATCCAAGGCAATGGCATCTGCTGCAAAATTTGCCTCAGTCAAGTTGCATAAAGTACAATGCACAGAATGATTAATATGATAGCTCTGTAGTGACGATGCACAATCAGATTCCAACTCTTCAACCTTTATAAGTTTTTCTGCTAACTTATTTAATACACAAATAAGTTAATTAGTGATTGTGCCAATTTCTATTAACGATAATGTATTTTTGGCTTTTGAAGGTCAAAACCCCGAATTGAAATATAACAAAGACAAAGGAAGAGAAAAGGGACAAAAATTATGCAAAATCATGAATTTTGGACCGAAGTGATCAAGTCAAAAGTTCAAGGACCTGGGGTTGCAATTTTTGAAGGGCATGATTGATATTAAAATCAAATTTGAGGATCAAATTGTACGAGTTCAAAGTTGAGGAACGTGGCATGCAATTATCTGGGTGACTTGGCTGCGAAATGAAACCAATGGTTTTAATTTTTGGGCGCCACTTTAAAAAGCTTGGGACCATTTTAATTTATTTCTGAATCTTTAGAGACCAAGGCTGCAATTTATGGGATATGGTTTTAAAGTAAAATGGGCCGCTTTGGGCATTCTTCTTCCTCCTTTTTCTTTTTAATTTCTTTTCCTTTTGTTATGTCCCCTCACATAATATCTCGCCGCGTCTGTTTCAGACGGACAGCGATCTAATGTGAAGAGGAGGCTCATCCGAAAACGTCGTGTCTGAGGCGTGAGGTCACCAAAATGATATAGTTCGAGGCGTCTTCATGATCTAAGGAGTTGCTTCTGAAGCGTGAGGTAACCGAGATGTTATGCTGCGAAAAAGAGGAGAAGCACCTCTCCGCAGCCAGTTTCAAAAACGGATCTTTTGGTCAAAATTGTCTCTGTATCTTAAGGAATTATTGATGTGACATTTTGATGGGTACTTTACAGTCATGATATTTATACCACTTAATTCATTATTTTGCCACCCTTAAGAGTGTTTTAGAGCGTTTTAATGTATATTTTGATATTGTGATATAGGTTGATGAAATTGAAATAAATAAGCAAAAGTTGACAAAATTGGAGGAAAGGACTAAATTGTAAGAGGTCCAAAACTTGGGGACTAAAATGCAAATAATCAAAAGTTATCTCGAACCTCGAAATGAAGATCCGAGAGTGCTAGGAGTCAATTGGATAAAGAAAGAGGTCAAAATGATCAATTTTAGTCAAAATATGATCACAAATCAATTTCCAACCGAAAAGTTATACTCCAGAGTTTTCGTCTCATATTGGGATCCACTTTTGACGTAGCAAACAACCGAATTGGAGAATGATGTTTGAAGAAAAGTTGTATCCCTTTGAGTTATCTTTTCAATGCATCTTGAATTACTTCAATCGGATATTGAGAGAAAAAAATTATGCTAAAAACACTGAAAGATGTACAATCTATTTTTTGGCTAAGCCGGGGCGCACAGTGCCCATGATTCAGAAATGACCAGAATGGCCGATGCACAACACCCATCTTGGATGCTAATGCATTGGATATGCAGGAAAATAATTTTTTATATTTTTGGACATTTTTCTTGGCCCAACTCAATCCTAATTCATTCAAGAACTTCAAGATACTATAAATATTATTCAAAAAACCTATTTTCTCGAACAATTGAAGTGGGCAAGATTGAAGAATTCAACCATACAATTTGAATGAGACAAAAATTGAAGACACCAAAGGAGGCAAGAACAACATCGAGGAAGAAGATTGAAGATCTACCTAAAAAACTAATTTTTCCCATCATTTTCCATATTTTTTTTTATCATGAGTTATATGAATTTCATGTTCCATATCACCAACTAAATGATTTATCTAGGGTTTGATGTAGCCGACTTGAGATTATGGGTTGACGATTTTATAATTATTTCTTTTGATTTTCTCGTATATATTTAATTGTGTCATGATTTTAATACTTTCGGTTACTTGATTAATAATTGAATGAATACATACTAGTCAATTACGGCGCTCGAGAGACGAAAATTTAGGCGTGATCATAAGATTGACAAAATATAGGTTTTATGGGTTTCGAGAGAAAGTATAAAATCTGTAAAGCTTACTCCATAAAAGAATCGAGACTTTTATAAATTCTTGATTTTCAATTTGGAATAGAGATATTGTAATTGGAATCTACAGTTATTTTCTAGCTAGAGGGAGATGAATATATTAGGATTCTTGCTTTTAAATATAGGAAAGTTAACTGGAATAATTGAAAATCGTTGAATCATAATTGAGAGTAAAGTGAAATCAATCACTAGGCCTTCTCATATTGATAAAT